GTCTTCTAACCAACAGCTATCAAGTGGTGGAAAGCATGAGGGTAGGATTGGAACCCAAGCTTGCTGCCCAAGATGCAATATTGCGGATCGCGAGGAAATACCCGGACTTCACGGGCGCGGTTTTTGCCCTCAACAAGAGCGGTTTTCATGCGGGCGCGTGCTACGGATGGACTTTTCAGTACTCTGTGATGAAACCCGGAATGGACGACGTTCAGGTTTTCACTGTACACCCTGAAATCGTCACCGTATGACGAAGGTGGGCCCCACCTCCTCCATTTTATATATTATCTCCTCACATGGATCTCCTTGTCTATCATAATTTTTTATGTGAAGTTCAATGCAATTCCTTTTGTGTTTGTATTGTTGTAATCTCATGTTAGGATTTCTTGTTGTTACTCTAATTACACATTAGTATGATATTATCCGTTTCGGATCAAGTATTCTACTCAAGCAAAAAAAGTGTTGCTTTGATGTAACTCTAATATTTTTAAAAAAGATGGTACTTATTAATTTAAAATATGGGTAGTATTTTTTGTTTAATAAGGACTCTTCCATGTTTATAATTTTTATGCTCCTCAATTTTATCCTCAAGTAGTCTAAAAAACATTTTTAACCCAAAATATTTTATTGTATTTTCTGAGGTAGTATGTTTGTATTAATACGTAGTTCGTCATTAGACTTTCAGTTTAAATAAATATTAAATACCTATTAAAATTCTTTTAATTAGTATTTTCCTAAAAAAATATCTAGCAAACCTACTTTTCGATCATTTTATTTGTATTCTTTTTACAATTTCTTTCCATTTTTAAAGCGCGTAAAGAAGGATTATATTATGGATATGTCCTCAATTTTATCCTGAAGTACTCTAATTCTCTAAAAAAACATTTTTAATGCTAAATATTTTATTGTATTTTTTGAGATAGTAATTTTTGTATTAATACATATTTCTTCATTAGACTTTTAGTTTACAGAAATATTAAATACTTATTAAAATTCTTTGAATTAGACTTTTCCTAAAAAATACTTAAACAAATATACTTTTCATTTTATTTGTATTCTTTTTACAATTTACTTTCATTTTTCAAGGTGTGATAAAGAAGGATTATTTATGTGTCTAAATCTTTTGTTTTAATTTGAGTATTTTGACAAAAAATCATTGTATCCTATTAGTGAATTTTATCTTTAAAAAATCTTAGGTGTAGAAGTTATGACTTTAAAAAATCTATATGAGAATCATATTTTGAATATTTATTTAAATAATATATTTTTTAGTTTATTTTTTATCGCGTGTGAATAATAACATAGTATAAATGTATCTTTACAATTTAAGAAACAGGACCCCATGCTTCTCAATTCCTGGATCCGCCTCTGAATAGGGCCGATATAAGAGCACAATATAAGACCAAAATGTTACCATACATTGGGGAGTAAGTGAATAACTAAGTGGAACATATTTGTGTCTTCTAACCAACAGCTATCAAGTGGTGGAAAGCATGAGGGTAGGATTGGAACCCAAGCTTGCTGCCCAAGATGCAATATTGCGGATCGCGAGGAAATACCCGGACTTCACGGGCGCGGTTTTTGCCCTCAACAAGAGCGGTTTTCATGCGGGCGCGTGCTACGGATGGACTTTTCAGTACTCTGTGATGAAACCCGGAATGGACGACGTTCAGGTTTTCACTGTACACCCTGAAATCGTCACCGTATGACGAAGGTGGGCCCCACCTCCTCCATTTTATATATTATCTCCTCACATGGATCTCCTTGTCTATCATAATTTTTTATGTGAAGTTCAATGCAATTCCTTTTGTGTTTGTATTGTTGTAATCTCATGTTAGGATTTCTTGTTGTTACTCTAATTACACATTAGTATGATATTATCCGTTTCGGATCAAGTATTCTACTCAAGCAAAAAAAGTGTTGCTTTGATGTAACTCTAATATTTTTAAAAAAGATGGTACTTATTAATTTAAAATATGGGTAGTATTTTTTGTTTAATAAGGACTCTTCCATGTTTATAATTTTTATGCTCCTCAATTTTATCCTCAAGTAGTCTAAAAAACATTTTTAACCCAAAATATTTTATTGTATTTTCTGAGGTAGTATGTTTGTATTAATACGTAGTTCGTCATTAGACTTTCAGTTTAAATAAATATTAAATACCTATTAAAATTCTTTTAATTAGTATTTTCCTAAAAAAATATCTAGCAAACCTACTTTTCGATCATTTTATTTGTATTCTTTTTACAATTTCTTTCCATTTT